TGGGCATTGAAATAACAGCTGGGGTGTCAGCGTTGGTGGGGTTGGTGTTTAAGTTTGCATCCCGCAGATTACATCGTAAAGCATTGAAAAAAGAGATTCGGTCCAAGTCTAGTAAAAGCACTGCCATCAGTGAAGACGAGAAAAAAGGACATAGAACAAGGGATGCAACAAGCCCGACAAGCTTTCATTACGAAAACCAAAGCAATCATAGGAGATTCACATTAAATTGTTTCGCTGAGATCAACATTATATAGTTTATTGATGTGAAAATTTATTGCTAGGACAAACAACACTTACCTCCCTGTCGAGTGATCACAATAATGCACGTGACCAGGAAGTTGGCTTGAGTCATAGGCCGCGTGACCATCAAAGTCAAAGCTGTTTATTGTACAAAAGGCCTCCGGCCCATATACATTGGAGTTTTACATATACATTATACATATGGTGCATAAGTAGTAATTAGTGATCCAAACAGCAAATCATGATACAGGCAGTAAATTATATACAAGTAGTGAAATACGATGGACCTACAACACTTTTTATCAGATTGTTACGTTTAATAAGAGCATAATAAATATATAGCGTGGAAAGTTACTGGACGGATTTTTCTCAGCTTGTGCAACCATGTCCTTGAATAGCTGATACCATTCAGCGAACTTGCAGCCTGACATAATGGTGCAGTAGCTATTCTTGTTTCTCCTTGTCGTACTCAACTTGAGTCACTGATTGTATGTGGACAAAACTGATTTGTCCACATACAATCCCAGTGACTCAAGTTGGGAATTCCGGGTTCGATTTGATCTCTAGCACCCTGTGTGTATGTATGTGTGTATCTGTGTATGTGTGTGTATGTGTGTATGTTTGTATATTAATATATATACATATGGATAGATGGATGGGTGGGTGGATGGATGGATGGATGAATGGACGTACGTACGTATGTATGTATAGATGTATGGATGGATGGATGGATGGATGGATGGATGGATGGATGGATGGATGGATGGATGGATGTATGTATAGTTGCTCCTGACAAATTTGCTACTGACATAATTGCAGCTGCCATTCTTGCTCTTGCCATACTTGCTGCTGACATATTTGCTGCTGACATACTTGTTACATGACCCTTTCAGTACTGTTCCTTCATGTGCACATGTTGAAATTGACAGTTTCAGGTTCTCGACGCGTATAGCAGGTCTAATGCGGCGTAAAGCAACATTCACTCATTCATTCATACTTTCTGTTTTCTTGTTTGCTGCGACTAAGTATCGCTTAATAATATGTTCAACGCTTTTAGTAAATTATCAATTGTATGTCTTTTTGTGTCAAACAAACTGTACAGTTCAGGTCACATGTAGACCAGCAGTCAGTCAGGGTCTATATAGGAACCTTGAACACAGTTGCACTTGCATATTATTCACATTGTCTTTGTTGCTACAATCACTGCTTGGTGTGTACTACCATTGTAATTTCCTTTGCAATCATTTGTAAACTTGGTAATATACTAACGGAAAAATCAACTGTGCATGACATGAAATTGCAAACAAATAGAAGTTGTTTAAAAAGGTTTATAAATAATCTTAAATAAATAACCTTTTTGCATGCCTTTTCACTCTTGACGGACGGACGGACGGACGCATGCATGCATGTATGTATGTGAGCTACTTTGTGTGTTCTGTGTGTTGGACTACTTTGCGTGTTATTAGTGGTGGACTACTTTGCGTGTTATTAGTGTTGGACTTCTTTGCATGTTATATGTGTTGGACTACTTTGAGTGTTATATGTGTTGGACTACTTTGCGTGTTATATGCGTTGGACTACTTGCGTGTTATATGTGTTGGACTACTTTGCGTGTTATATGTGTTGGACTACTTTGCGTGTTATATGTGTTGGACTACTTTGCGTGTTATATGTGTTGGACTACTTTGCGTGTTATATATGTTGGACTACTTTGCATGTTATATGTGTTGGACTACTTTACGTGTTATATGTGTTGGACTACTTTGTGTGTTATATGCGTTGGACTACTTTGCGTGTTATATGTGTTGGACTACTTTGCGTGGTAAATGTGTTGGACTACTTTGCGTGTTATTAGTGTTGGACTACTTTGCGTGTTATATGTGTTGGACTACTTTGCGTGTTATATGTGTTGGACTACTTTACGTGTTATATGTGTTGGACTACTTTTGCGGTTATTAGTGTTGGACTACTTTGCGTGTTATATGTGTTGGACTACTTTACGTGTTATATGTGTTGGACTACTTTATGTGTTATATGCTTGGACTACTTGCGTGTTATATGTGTTGGACTACTTTGCGTGTTATTAGTGTTGGACTACTTTGCGTGTTATTAGTGTTGGACTACTTTGCGTGTTATATGTGTTGGACTACTTTACGTGTTATATGTGTTGGACTACTTTGCGTGTTATATGCGTTGGACTACTTGCGTGTTATATGTGTTGGACTACTTTGAGTGTTATATGTGTTGGACTACTTTGCGTCTTATATATGTTGGACTACTTCGCGTCTTATATATGTTGGACTTCTTGATGTGTTATATATGTTGGACTACTGCTGATGGAACACAAATTCCTGAAAAGGCATTAAAGACTTATTCTATTCTATGTGTGTGTGTGTGCGTGCGTGCGTGCGTATGTATGTGTATGTGTGTGTGTGTGTGTGTGTGTGTGTGTATGTATGTATGTATGTATGTATGTATGTATGTATGTGAGCTACTTTGTGTGTTCTGTGTGTTGGACTACTTTGGGTGTTGTATGTGTTGGACTACTTTGCGTGTTATTAGTTTTGGACTTCTTTGCGTGTTATATGTGTTGGACTACTTTGCGTGTTATATGTGTTGGACTACTTTGAGTCGTAAATGTGTTGGGCAGATTTGTGTGTTCTGTTTGATACACTCACCATAACAAGTAGCAACAATTGGTAGCATGGACCAAATATGCGATGCAATAAGTGAGTGAGTGAGTGAGTTGAGTTTTACGCCGCACTCAGCAATATTCCAGCTATATGGTGGCGGTCTGTAAATAATCGAGTCTGGACCAGACAATCCAGTGATAAACAGCATGAGCATCGATCTGCGCAATGGGGAACCGATGACATGTGTCAACCAAGTCAGCGAGCCTGACCACCCGATCCCGTTAGTCGCCTTTTACGACAAGCATAGTCGCCTTTTATAGCAAGCATGGGTTGCTGAAGGGCTATTCTAATAGACCCGGACCTTCACTGGTCGCAATAAGTGAGAAAGTATTCGGGAAGATGAAAGACGAATGTGCTAGGACACCTATTGCTGAGTACGGTGGATTAAGACCAAAATGTATTCTTTAAAGAAAGCTCACCGTAGTGAGATAAGGAAGGCTAAGGGTGTGAAGATATATGTCGTGAAAAAAACAAATAAAAAACGAACAATTCAATGAGAACATATTCAATGGACGAACATTTAAACACGAAATGAATACATTGAGAAGTGACAAACATAGAATATATGGTTTATGAATGAATAAGACATTGTTGTCGCCAATAGATACGCAGCGATGGGTTACCGATGACGGTGTAAATCCTTACGCGTAAGGTATCTAGAGAGGTAAAGCCGTATCAATGGGTACTATATATAATTCTTCTCGCACAAATCCCCTGTCTGGCCCGTCCTTAAGGTAATACAAGAAAAGTTCGTATTGTCCATGTCCATCCAGTTAATGTTATACGTTTTAAAAGGCCAAACTGGGTCAATTGAGCGGCGGGACACCAAATGATGATCCGCTAAATTTATTGTGTTTTGTGGTGGCTGGGGGCAGAACTGAGATGAAAGGGCTTAATGACGGGGGATATCGCGTATATCCATACTCGTTCTGGGCATTTTATACACTGACAAGTAAAACAATGCCTGAGAAGACTCTGTTTAAACAATGCCTGAGAAGTCTCTGTTTAAAGTAGTGGCTATTGTACAATGCTGACTATATCATGTAGGCGTTTATTAATGACTATCAATATAGTGGTGCTACCAGGTGGTCAACAATAAGATGTACATTAGAACGTGCTCGTTTTGCTGGCTGGTCCAGGAAGGACGTAGAAAGATAGTACAACAAAGTACAACAAATCTTAATGGTTATTCGCGATAGGTCGCAACAGCTAACTGCACTAGAGCTTGGCTGCTTAAACTACAGACCTTGATGCATTTTGTTTAGTTTCTTGCAAGAAGACTCACGTTTCGTCCCCATTGTTATTACCAGAATTTCTTTATCAATAAACTTAGAGGTTTGCATTGAGTTCCCCACATACTGCATTAAGGAAATTCACGCTCAGTTAATTTAGTTCATGGAACAATGAGCATATCCTGTTCTACTGGTTGCTGGAATGTTAAAGTGATACTCACTTGTTTTCCAGAAAGGGAAAACTTCAAAATGGAGTGTTCATGTGAGAGTATGTATTTATGCATGCATATGTGTCGCAGGTCCAGGTTTTCTATTGTCAGAGACAAATATTAAGAAGGCGGAATTTTTAAATTGTTTATTTGTCTGTGATGAGAAAGATGCATGGTAGCACCTTATAATGAAATGATGTGTCACAGACGTTACACGAAGTCAGTGATCCGTGAATAGTGATGCAGCGGAATTTATAATATATACAATTGATGCCTTTCACACTGACTGACGTGCTATGGCAGTGCAAAGTTGAAGTTAGTAATAGTCATAAGCGGGGTTTTACAATATGCATGATCTATACACGAGTATTTACTAACTTGCTTACGCTACCTGATTCGTACGTTAGTAACATATTATATATAATTATTATACTAGCAATTACAGATAAATGAATATGTAAGGAGAGTGTTTACCTGTAATGGAAAAGATCAACATCTAAAAATGGCCGTCATACGAGGCTGACAGGTAACATTGTAATGTGTAATTCAAGTTGTCACTACGTCAGCCGTAGAAGCCCGCTAATTGGCTGTGAGCCAGATAATGATAGCGTTGCTCTCAACCTTACCTGCCTCTCCTTTGTGCTTGCTTTCTCAAAGTTTATACTCTCTCGCCCCAGCCCCAACCCCAGCTCAACAGTAATGTTATGTGCTTCTCTATTCCGACATTTCCCTATGGAGATCGCCTCGGAGTTATGAACCGAACACGAGATCACTCGCATTCCACCCCCGTAATCAGAGCAGAACATATTACTACTTCTAAACCATAAAGGGAGGGTTAGCGATGAATTGGAGTGTGTGTGTGTGTTTGTGAACACCCGCGGTTCCGTGCCATTGTAAACCGGGGTTAATGCGTGGAGTTGCACACGAGGTATAAATACTCATATACAACACACATTCCAACATTACCCCTAGTAAACCATAAAGGGAGGGATAGTGAAGAATTCTGAAGAAGTTTGTGAATGTTTTAACATCACCATTTTGAGCATGGTTTAACGAATCCCACTCCACAAGAGACACTACATTTCCCGCGACCGAGTTTGAGAAGAAACATGATACAAATAATCGACGAGATTGAGTCAGCGTTATCACTCACACGTTGGAATATCTTCTCACACTAGCATATTTTTGTAATATCCCAAGATTTGAAGTCGGCGAATCAACAGGAACTTAATCTATCAATTTCCAAAAAGCATTGAATCAGTGAATGAGGAAATTGTGATATAGAAGTGGAGAACTTATATAAGCAAGATACCCGGGATGTGACATATCACCGATGTATTACCTTAAGTATCAATGCAGAGATTTTCGGGATACGCGTTTTAAGACAGATCGCTGGGTAGGAGAACTTCATCACATGCTTGACGACACACTTCACCTCCAGCGTTGATAACGATGTCACAAACACTAGCTCATGATTATTATGACCCAAGGAAACCCAGAGCCGCTTCAGTGGATTTCAAAAGTTTATATCGCCGCTGGAGATCGAAACGATCCCAACATCAACCCAACCACAGTTAAAAGGTGGCTTAACGCGCAAGACGCTTTATAATCTTCATAAAGGATCACGCAGAAGATTCAAGAGAAACCGGTTATCGTTGGTGGTGTCAACGTCCGCCGGCTTCCATCTGATTGATGTTTCAAACATAGCCGACGCCAATGACGGCGCAGAAAATACCTGCTTATCGCTATCGACTGTTTTTCAAGATTCGTTTGGATCAACCCTGTTAAGAACAAGAGGTCGGATACCATAGCATCAGCAATGAAGACTATATTTCAATCTATGAGGAAGGTTCCATTCACATCTCAACAGACAAAGGTACAGAATTCCGAAATAATGAGGTGAAATGAGTCTATAGTCAATATCACCTGAAACATTTTGTAACACAGAATAATGATATTAAAGCTTATTACGCCGAAGCGTTTCATACTAACGCTGAGAACCATGCTTTTAGGTATTTTTACGATAAGAGAACTTATCGTTATGTGGACATTTTACAAGACATGGTATATAACTATAACCACCGCCCTCACACCTCGCTGAAGGGAAGGGCATCGGCAGAAGTTAATCACAAGAACGAAGCCGAGATATTTATGACAACACACCGCGTGCGAAAAGCGAATTAACAACACCATCTTCACATCATCACCCCAAACCTTTTGCGTTTAAAATAGGTGACCTCGTACGACTTTCGACGAACAAGAGGACGTTTGAAAAGGAGGCCGAAAAGAAATGGACACAGGAAGTTTTTAGAGTCACCCACCGCGAACGTAGAGACGGCATCCCTATATACAAAGTCGAAGATTTACAATCAGAACCCATTACAGGTGTATTCTATCAATCTGAAATGAACAAATTTCACAAAGATCCGGACGTAGTGGACTGGCGTATAGAGAGAATTCTGAAGTATAGAACTGTGAAGGGTGATAAACCGTAAGGGAGGATCAAACAAGCCCCTCGCTAAGGGTCTGGTTTTCCCAAAAGTTTAATTCGTGGATAGACAATCGAATTGAGATAACATAATCAAGACACGTGGAATAATCCAACCTCCCACCTAAGCATTAACGATGAAAGATGAATGGATTGTTGCTCATAGTGATAATAGTTTATTATATTTCCCAGACAACCAACCGCACAAGTTTTCTCTGTATTTACATCAACCGCTCCGGTTGGAAGGTCATTGGACAATCGTTCTTCGTGAATTTTATGCCAAACGAAGCAGAGGAGGAAAAAAGTAGAAAGTTACAGATGATATGCTTTACATAAACTGTTCTGTGTGTGAACCCATAATCGTAGACGGTGAACGACGACCTCTCCTGCGACGGGTAAAGTCAACTTCAGGCTCGGCATTTTTAACATGGAACATTAAAATTCAAGAACCATACAACATAGACGTTCGCCTCGTTTACGACACGATTCATCAAATCGATGTGTATATAACTGACGCCCATAACGAACCAGCCACATTCTTAACTGATGTGTCTTCACTAACGCTTCAACGTAGGCGATATCCGTTTTTGATTTAGGAAACAATACCATACATCATCACCTCATAAGCAATCGACCTAATTCCCGGAAAGACGAAACGGATGAGGGGTTGTATATCCCAAATATATCTCTATGGCGGAAATACTATGCGGATGTTGCAAAAGGAAAGCACATCGCTACTGACTCATTTCACCACACCAACGCAACCGAACATAATCAACAGTACCAAGTTAGTACATTTAACCTTAAGCCCGGTTCAAGTATGATCACTCTAGACCACAGCTACCCAGTACGTAACCTACTTCCCCCGCCACCATCAGCCATCACACACTCGCCGACCGAGGGTGAACACGCCATACCGCAAAACGATATAAGAATAGTGAGTCCCAGCGAACAGGTTGTAGACCAAGCAAAACTGAGATAAGGCGGAACCCTGACTCGGTTTCAAGAACCGCTTTTGAGAAGTCGGCGATGAAGCGTGGGAATAAAAAACACAGATGAACAAAGACAGCTCACAGTTCGAGGAGATCTGTTGCTCGGAAAAGATCAAGTACCGATAAGCGTGTCCAACCCAGGGTGAAGATTTCCAAAAGGAAGAAAAGCTCAAAAAGATCATATCCGCGTATAAAGAAGAAGAGGACAATAGAGGATATTTTTGGTTAAACATCATGTCGGCTTTAATTAACGATTCTAAGTTTTTACAGAATCACAACCACCAGAACTGTCATTGTATAACTTACCCCCAACTCAAACTGCTGTGGAAAGAACCTATCTTCAAGACTGTCGTCCTGTGTCACCGTTATCCGGAACGACAGCTCCCATCGAATCCACATCAGCAGCGTCAAACTGGACTTGAATACATTGACCTTAGACGCTCGTCTTTGTATGTCAAGTGCAAAATAACTCACGCGGACAATTCACACCTAGCTTCCGACGAACAGTCGCCCACGGTTAATTTGTTCCTCCATTCTCTTTTCTCACAAGTGGATGTGTGGTTGCAGGGTCGACTCATTAACTCAACAACCAATCACTATCCCTACAAGGCTATGATTCAAACACTTTTAAATACTTATTTAATCGATAATAAGACGAAGATGCGGGGTCAACTGTTTTTCAAAGACACCGCCGGAGAATTAGAGATAACCGACCCAAATGGAACCAACACCGGTATGTTCAACAGGAATGAGTTTACATCGGGGAGTAAGACTTTCGATCTCGAGTCTCCTTTGATGCACGATCTGTTTCAAATGAAGCGTTATATACTGAACCAAGTTGATGTGCAAGTAAAACTGTATCGCTCCAACCCTCAATTCATGCTGATGGCTACCAAAACAGACACAGCTTACGTGGTGCAAATCGAGGACATAGTGCTAAAAGTCATGAAAGTTTGTGTGAATCCCGGCGTGATATGGGGTCATAATGAGGTGCTATCAACCACCCCAGCCAAGTACCCAATCCGCAGAACAGAAGTGAAAATGTTCTCCATTGTTAAAGGACAAACCAGCATCGCTTGGGGTAACATATTTCAAGGCATTCGCCCAAATAAAGTAGTAGTTGGGTTCGTATCCGCTAAAGCCACTGGGATGGGTGACTTCCACAAGAATCCTTATAACTTCGCTAATTGGGATCTGGCACAAATCGTGCTCTTTTGTGATGGAACGAGTGTTGGAGAGTCCGGACCTATGAAATTACATTTTGGAGAAGCCACAGGACAAACCATCATCCCCGCGTATGTCAACTTTTTCGTTCGTCAGGGTGTTGGTCAACCATTAACAACATTGAAACTCTCACCACTGTTGACATAACCCGAGACGAGTTCGTCGCTGGATATGCTCTGTATGTCTTCTCATTGGATCCAGTGTTTGGACACAACGACGGAACATATTTACGTCTTCAAAAGCGTGGAACTCTCAGACTCGAAGCACAGTGCGCAACTCCGCTCCCAGAGACAGTATCATGCGTGGTCTACGCAGAATTTGATGACATTTTTCAAATAGAGAAAAGTAGAAACATTATTGGTTAGTGTAAGAAGCAATGAACTCTCATCAGCTGGAATGTGTAATAAACTGTGATCCCGTGCTGCGACACCGCGTGTTCGGAGTATTCGCCGCGAATCATCTGTCAAAACACCTTGCAAAACGGATGAGGGATTCAGCACAGTGTCCAACAGCGATTATAGTTAATACTGAAAAGTCACACAAACCCGGTCAACACTGGTTTGCTATATGCGTAGATATGAGAACGATTGAGATTTTTGACAGTTTGGGATTCGATGACGGATTAGCAAGGAATGTGAAAGAAGTGGACGACTTTGTGGATCAAATACACAATAAATCACCCAACCGTTATCCTCTCCATCACCGAGGGTTAAATTGGAGTCACGTCCGTGTGCAAAGTCAAGAGGGAAGAACGTGTGGACAATTTGTTGTGTATTATCTGCTGTTCCAGTTGAGGGGATGGAGTTTGAGACAAATCCTCAATCGTTTTTCAAGAATTAATTATATTGATAACGACCATTATGTTTACGGGTATATAATGAAACGTTATCCCCGTTGTGTTAGTTTGTCATCTTAACAGCACCCAGACGCGTTCAACAACCACATTCCCTATTTGGAGATGTTGAGGGATGAGGAAATGGAAGACTCCGATGAGGTGACACCCACGCTCCCGATCCCGTCTCCGTCCACTATTTTTATTAGCGGAGCAACCCAGTCCG